GTTCGAACTGAGTTCGCACCACAGAGTTTAAATCATTGAAGTTTATTAGAGCTTTATCTATGTAATTGAATTACATAGTAGCATAAAACAAATCCACAAAAATCCATTAAATAATATGAATCCATGTGTTAAACCCATTTCGTACATCTTAAAATATATATATTTGTTTAAAGCCAAACAAATTCGATTACAAATTTGAGTACCAAATATGTGCTGTAATTTATTTCGTAAATTTTCAATACTTAACACACGCTAAGTCGATAAACGCGCCACACAATTAGTGACCACCTGAGCCAGCAGAGCTGAAGAGGCTGCCCCTTCAACCAAACATCTTGAGGTGCTAAGAAGGTTGCAAGAGCCAACGAAGCTGAAACCGAAGCTTAAGCTGTGTTGCTGCCCCCTAATGAAGCAGCCCAAATGCAATGCATCAGCAGCTAAAGACCCGCTTAGGGCAGCAGCGCGGTGGCGGGCCAGAGAGGGGGATGAGGAATGGGCAGGTGAAAAAACAATACAAACGCAGTTGCAACTAAATGCGGCAACGTTTTGTGGAACAAACGTTTCGAATAATTAAAATGCATGCGTTGCAACGCGAATGTGAAGAGAGGCGAAACCAACTAATTGGTCTTGCATGAGTTGCTGATGGAGAGTGAAAAGTGCAGGGTGTGGGGGAGGGGAGCAATGTGCCACAAGTGGTAGCGAAAATCGTGTTACCCATTTGTTGCACAAATTTGTTGTAAAGCATGCAAAAAGTCAACAAAACAATTTTCGCTTGTTTAGCCAACACAAATGTGCCAAATCATGGCGATCACATAATTAAACGCCGGCTGGACACGAATTAGGCCCGCAAATATGTAAATTGTAAATTGTAAAAAAATCATTACTTAGCGAGCGGCGATTTACGAGTAACTGCAAATGCCGCCAAATAGTGTCATAGATTTGAGTTGCAGACCCTTTTCCACACAAGCAGCATACAAATTGTAGCTCAAATATACATACATATATGTGTATCTGACAGATACACACACACAAATGTATGCATATATCTCACAGATACGTGCAGGCCATAAGCAACTTTTGGCCATATTTTACAATTTATTGTGCCTGTCAATTGCCAGCAGCCAACGAGAACAACAACAACAACAAAAAAGAAGAAAAAAGATTGTAGGGAAGTTATAAATGTATCTCCCATATAGAACTTATTGTTCGCGTCATGCGTTTGCATACATGTATATGAAAAATACTCGTAAGCACATTTATTCTGCGGAAAATATTGCACTTTGATTTCTCAAAAAAAAAAAAAAAACCAAAAAGAAGACGAAATAAAATAAAATGTGGCAGCTTAAAAATGTGCAGTTATAATAAATTTTGGCAAAGTTGCAGCTCAGATTTAAAAGACAAGCAGACAAATGGACAACTTTGGAGCAGCAGCAACTGCAACTGAATATGGCCCGAAGGCAATTTTAGATATTACCAACATTTTCACTCAACTCTTGGGAAAGAAACAGATAAAAATAAATTTAAAATAAACTTGATCTGCGCTTCGCTTCAGGAATACACTCATAACTTATTTCATTGCTCAGATATAGTAGCACAAAAGGACAAGCATATAATACACAAATATATAACTAAAATATATATGTTAAGGTTTAACAACGTGCTCGACCAATGCCCCAAATACCTGAGCTTTGAGAAGTCTAATCTTAGCTTTAGGCAAAATCGCGCCTCTGTCCTGATTTCTTCACTTTTAACATCTTTTAACATTTCAGGTAAAATTTTAGATGTATTCTATTTTCTATTTCTATTTCTATTCTATTTTTGTGTGCATGTGTATGTATTTAAATAATAAATTTTCTCGTATAACAAATGCTGTTCAAGTAAACTTTCCGTTGCGCTTTAAAATTAAACAAAATATAAGTATTTTGTATATCGCCCTACTTTGCGATTCTCATAAGTTAAAGTATTATAATACTTTCAAGCATTGAAACGATGTGCATGTTTAAATGTTTACTTATACCAAACGCAGATGTCTGTGATTCAAATATAAACAGAATATAAATATTTTTAATATCTCCCTTCTATGCGATTCTCACGAGTTCAAGTAATACTTTCAAGTATAAACGCCCAAAAGTATAAATGTTCACTTATACAAAACGTAGACCAAGTCAACTTACCGCTGCACTGCAAATTTTATGAAAATATAAGAATTTTGCTATACCGCCCTTCTATGTGATTCTCATAAGTTTGAGTAATGCCTTCAAGCATTCACGCCGTGATTATATATATCAATTATGTTAACAAGTTCACAAGTTATTCCCAAATGTCCTTTTTAATCTTTAATCTGAACTAATTTTCAGATTTGTTGCAATTTTGTTCATGGCCTGAACTCTAGTTTGATGCTGCATCCATAATTGATGCGCACCAAGTTTGTTTGCTTGAAGCTTCGGCACATGGCAACATTCTTACATTGTTTGCATAGAGTTTGTTGCTTCTCAAAGGATTTGAGCTATTTTTAAATTCAAAATCAATAAACGATATCAATATATAATTGGCCTTAAGTGTACGAGCTTTTAAATCTTGTTGCTGTTATTGTTGCCTGCTCGTGTGGCATTCATCTGGGGCATGACCCGAGCCCAGGCCACAGCACAGTCAAAACTCGCAATGTGGCCAACTCATGTGCGGCTTCTGCCTGCAAGTGGCTTTTTGACTTTGGCCATTAACATAAACCTGACACGTCTTTGTCGACGCCTCTGACGAGTTGTCAGACAGTTAACACTCGACTCGCCTACTTGGCTATGGATATGTACGTGTTGGTGGTTGGTGACGGCCCAAGACATTACTTTAAAGATTTATGATTAGTCACGATTTCGAGTGCTAAACGATTTTGGCAACGAGCTGCACACAGTTTGCAATTATTTGCTTTTGTCTTATTATTGTTGCTTATTTCTTTATGCAATGGCAATTCAACAACTATTCGCGGGTGGGCATTGGGCAAACACAGTTTGGCGCTCGTCAGCTGCCAATTATGTGGCAAGTTGATTGAATTATGAGGCGTGCGTTTTCGAGTAGCCGATGCAAAGCTGCGGCAAGTGCAGCTGGCAGCAAACCGCAAACAATTTAGCGAACTAGCCTTGAATTGCTGTCCATCTATCCAGCAGCATTTACAGCAACTGTAATGTTACAGTTTATTGCCATTTATATACCCTGTAAAACCTTTTTAAAGGGTATGCGTAAGACAGGCTTCTCCTTTAACCATCTGATACGCATGGATTTCATCAAGATGATGTCAATTCCGAAACCATATTAAACTATTTTCCTGCTGTAGCACCTCGTTGAACTCAAAGCTTATAAGAACTAGTTACGACATTTTCGTAAAAACTAACTATGATAATTCAAAGAATTCTGCATTCATACCTGTCATACCTAGGCTTTCCTCCTTTCTTAATGAAATTAATTTATTGAAATTGAAATTATGAACAAAATAACAATATTGGTCATATTATACTTTTTTACAGGGCATATTCTAGTCGTATCTTCTAGGCTATATCTTACCCCATAACTTACCTCGTTTTTGTGCAATTGCAATTTTGTGTGTGCCTGGTAATTTGCTATCGAATGTACTATTTCCATTTTTCCTACGCTACTTCACATAATTTCAAGGAACCGAATTTACATTTTGGTTTATATGACTTTCCCCTCGCTCTCTCTGTCAATGTCTCTCACTCACTAGCTTTCTCTATCTACCAGCTATAGCTGTTTCGCTCATCCCTTGGCTTGGGCGTTGACAGTGCCCTCGGTCCTTGACGATTCCCCATTGCTCGTAGTTTTGTGGCTTTTGGCATGCTTAATGCCAATCTCTATGCGCCACATGAGAGCCACACGTTGCACCACTTGCACACGGCATAATACAGAAAAATGAAAAAAAATCGCAGCAAGTCAGGCGCAACACGCAGATACGCGTACTTTGTGCTCATCAGCCCGCTGCACAGGCTCGATTTGGTGACTGCCACAAGGAGCACCTGCAATTAGGCTTTCGATAGACATGAGCAGGTCCAGCATTAGTATGATATCGTTCTTGATTATATGATTGAGATTGAAACCAAACAATATAAAAGCTTGAAACTCAAAATCAAAAATAAATAATTGAGGATATAATAATGATAGTGATAATAATAAATAGTATAATAATAATAATAATAATACAAATAAGAATAATAATAATAATGATATTAAGAATAATAAAAATATTAATACTAATAATCATGATATTAATAATAATAATGATAACAATAATAATAATAACAATAATAATAATACTATCATTAGTAATAATAATATTAATAATAATGATAATGGTAATGATAATGATATAAATAATTATAAAAATAATAATGATACGGATAATGATAATGATAATGATAATGAACAGCTTTTTGCTGCCTATATATGATTCATACGGGTACGTACTCGAGCTCTACCCCGGGCATAAAAACTTTTGTATTAAGTGTCGACTCGTAGCCTGACTGCGTACTTCCATTATCTATATACATTGATTATTTTTGATTGAAATATTAGTAAATATTACAAATCTTAATTGAAAGTGAGCAACATTTGATATGATCTCAAATCGTACGAAATGCGATAACCCCGCATATTTTTGTCCCTGACACTCACACACTTTGATCCCTAGATTTATAGAGACAACTGCTGATGCCCCGATAATTAGCAACATTTATGGTTTATTTGTGTTAACTGGCAATTATTGGGAATCTTTTATGGCATAAACCCCCCCCGGAATCGAAGTGTGCGCATTCGAACTGATTAAAACGCACATAAATCTCACAAGGATTAGCTAAATAGAGCCGGCAAGGGGGCATATCTTATCGCGGGCATGCCAAAAATAAAGACTCCAAGTCAAGTGATTCCCAATCGTTAGATAAGATTTGCAGCTCAAATTTAAGTAATCGACAAGCATTAGTAAAGTCATTTAGTTTAGTCGTGCGACTACTTTGAAGCTGACCAAACGTGAATTAAAATAACATGCTGAAGGAAACGCTGCTCATCCTGGCGCTGACTGCCGCAGCGCTGGCTGCCGACTATGATCCTTACCTAGATATACCCTTTAAGCGAGTCAAGACTTCGGTGAGTGTCAGCACAAATTGCGGTTTAATAGCTAAGTGTGTTTACCTTAGAGTCAGGCACGTGTCGTGCTCTTGTGCTGCGTGTCGTGCTCGTGTTCGATATTTAATATTCGTGCTGTTCGTTAGTGTGGAAATTAAAGTGTTTAAGATGTTCAAGAAAAATCCAGATAAAAAGAGAATTAAATAAGAAGTGTTTTAATATTGAAATTGAAAGTTACTGTGAACATTTTTAAATAAAAAATGCAGCTAAATTATTATTTTCACGTTTTTTAATATTATTCAGAGCATATTTCTAAATGCTTAAATTTTATTAGAAAGTTACAAATTATTTATTAAATTGCAATTATTATTTCAAAGCTACCAAATAACAGCAGAAGTGTGAATGAAATTTAATTCAATGGCTACAAAAAGTTTCAATTACAATTTAAATTAAAAAAAAAGAAGAAAATCTTAGATTTAAAACTAAAATGGAAAACGAAAATTTAAATCAAAAGAAGTGTCGTGTCTTTAACGTTGCTTTCGTGTTCGTATCGTGTCACGCGCACATCTCTAGCTTGTCTATAACATTAAGCAATGCTCTGCGTTGGCATTTTGCAGGCTGAACGCATCGAATCGCATGGCTATCCGGCCGAAACGCACGAGGTGGAGACCGAGGATGGCTATGTGCTGAACATGTTCCGCATACCGTATTCACCCAAGCTGGGCAATGCTGGACAGGCACAGCGTCCGGCTGTGCTTATACAGCACGGCCTGTTCAGCTGCTCCGATTGTTTCCTGCTCAATGGGCCGGACAATGCTTTGGCCTACAACTACGCGGATGCGGGCTACGATGTCTGGCTGGGCAATGCCCGTGGCAATATTTACTCCCGTAATAATACCAGAATAAGCACGAGTCATCCATATTACTGGGCATTCAGCTGGCATGAGATTGGTGCCTACGATCTGCCGGCCATGATAGATCACATCCTGGCGACGACCGGTGAGAAGGCGGTGCATTATGTGGGTCATTCCCAGGGCTGCACCACATTCTTTGTGATGGGCGCCGAACGGCCCGAGTATAATGCAAAGATTAAGACCGCCCATATGCTGGCCCCGCCAATTTTTATGGGCAACACCACGACGGACATTATCCTAGCCACGGCCGGCTATGTCGGCTCGCCGGGCTTGGGCGCTGAGCTGCTGCAGAATCAGGTGTTCCTGCCCATGAATCCCATAATACAGCGCATCCTGGACACAGCCTGCAGCAATGATCCCTATCTGTTGAACTACTGCAAGATTCTGGCCATGATGTGGGGCGGTGACAGTGAGGGCAATCTGAATGTGGTAAGTAGCTGAAGCTCTGGCTACGCTCCTAGCTCGACTCTCGCCTCTCGCCTCCCTCTCGCTTTGCAGACGCTGCTGCCACAGGTCGCCGAAACTCATCCCGCTGGCATTTCCACCAACCAGGGCATTCACTTTATACAGTCCTATGTATCGAACGAGTTCCGTCAGTATGACTGGGGTCCAACTAAGAACAAGGCCACTTATGGCTCGGAAGTGCCGCCATCGTATGATCTAACGAAGATCACATCGAAACTCTACCTGTACGTGGGCCTGGCCGATGAGTCGGCAAATGTCAAGGATGTGGCACGCCTGCCGCCGCTGTTGCCGCAGCTGGAGGAGCTCTACGAAATACCGGATGAAACATGGGGTCACCTGGACTTTATATTCGCAAAGCAAGTGAAAGAGGTTATCAACGACAAGGTTATAACCACAAGTGAGGCCTACGATCGACTCTACAACAACTGAACGTTCAGTTTAGTCATATATAATCGCAACTAACTTCTGTCTTAATAAACGTTTTTGCCACAAGAAGCAAATCTGTAATGAGTTATGTTTAAGGGGTAGTAAGAGATTGAGAGAGTGAGAGAGAGAGAGAGGGGGAGAGCGCGATTAGTCGCAGGCTACTCCGGCTAATTACTCTGCGAGGCTGCTCACACTGCCTTCTGTAGCTATTTTTTTTATTGTATATATATATATATACCCTGTAGCCATATAAGTGGATTAATGGGGTATCATAAAGTATGCCAAGTGCATAAAAATGTTAGATAAGCCTAACCAATTACCTTTAAAGTATAAAGAAAACTGTAGTCAATAACTAGATAGTCGCATTGCTTAAACAAACTAAGGTTGTGTAAGCTATTACATGTTACTGGACACCTCTCGCAATTGAGTGGAATTTAATAATAAGGGCAAGTTTAAGCAAGTTTAATCTGGAATATGCATATAATATAAAGTTAAGGATCTTTCCTTTAATCAAATAATACTTACAGAGAAGTTATTCGAAGTCCTTTAATATCTAGTTTTCTAAAGCTTGCATAAAATTGCAAAAATATATATTTTGTGTATATTAGGAATTTACAAATATTTTATAACAATCAGTTTTAAACATGTGTGTTTTCTAGGAGTCAACAATTTTTTAATTCCCTATTCATAATTTTATTTAATATGGCTCAACAACTAATAATGTTTTTATGCTTGACATTTAATAGCTTTATGCACTGAAAATTTGAGTATAAAAATACGGTATACATATAAAACCTCTTCATCTACTGTACACAGGGTATTTGCTCGTCGCATACTCTTTCGCAATACGCACACTTAATTGTTGGTTTGCTTGTTTGTTTGCTTTTTTCTTTTTTGTTGACAAAGTTGTTTGCGAAGCACGTGGTTAACACCAAGCACAACTTACCCGACAGCTCGTGTCGGGCTGTAAACCGTAGAATAGCTGACAAAATTATAGTAATTAGCGCCTGGCTGGACCGTCCGCTGCTGTTTGTTAGCCTGGCCAAGAGCTGCAAATACGGTTATAATTATGATTTACTGGCTTAAGGTGGGGTAATCGAATGGGTCGCCTTATAAAGCCAAACACAATTATTGATAGTACACGAAGTGCATGACTAAGAAATTGGAAATTCCATTAGCTGAGTGCGGCATTAAATTATGCGAGCGAAGGAGTCCAAATGTTACGTTTCAATGGGTTATTGGTCTTAATAGTAATGGATGATGATGATATATTTTTATATCGACGTGAAAGATTTATTGATGCCTTTTAAGATTATTCGAATTATGTTAGCTGAAGAATTGGAGAGCTTTAGACAATGTTATAAATTGTAAGCAATACTAATTAGCAATAGTTTATTTATACATAAAAATACAAAGAGCGGGACAGAGGGGGAGAGAGCGAGCGAGAGATAGAGATATGAAAGCATTGGAAAAGTATAAACAAATTTATAAACATTTTAAGCAGCAGAACCTTCTATAAAAGTACAAACAGGCATTTAAGATTTAATATAGTATCTAGAGATTTAATTAATTTAACTATAATATATACAGGAATAACATAAAAGCCAGACCCGAAGCTAAACCCGCATGCGAGCACTTTAGAGTGCTCAAATGAGTGTGTGAGAGAGAGAGAGAAAGAGAGGGAGAGGGAGAGAAACTCAGAGAGATTTTCATGTGCAGAGCTTCACCACAGGCAGCGAAGCAACGGAATATTCATTAATGACAAACCGCTGATGTGGAAAATGGATAATGCAGCCAAGGATGGGAATGGACATGAAAATGGGGTTGACAATCAGGATGGGACTGGGGTTGGGGTTGTAAATGTGGATATCCTGGGGTCGAATAGACTTCTGGCAAAATAAAAATGATAACAAATTAAAATTAATAAACTGTAAGGGATTTGTCGGGCCCAGACAAAGGCCACTGGAATTCGGTCACGCCCATTAGGTTGTGTCAGGTGTCCTTGATATTAATCCTTTATTTGTTCGCATCCAATTTGCAGCCGAAGGCAAGCAAAAAGTGTTAAAAGTATTTCTCATGCGGCAAACTCAGCAATGCCAAAGTTTTTACTAGACAAGCGGGACAAATGCAGCAGCAGGAGCAGCAGCAGAGAATTACTTGCCCCTAAGTGTATTTTTTTTTGGCTTTAGCTGGTTACATATTTTAGATGGCGGAAAACAGGCGTCAAAGCGGCAGCGACAACAATCACAGAACTTGCGATTGTGAATTGAAAAATTTGCGCTTAAAAATGAGAAATGCAAAAGTTTGACAAAAAAACAAAAGAAATTTTACAAGTGGAAAATGGCAAATGGCAAATGACGCAGCGTCTGCTGCGTTGCCAAATGTTTATTGTCAAAGTTGTTGCAGCAAAAGTTTTTTTTTTTTTTCTTCTTAGCCCAGTTAAAAGAAGCGCATTTATGTAAATAGTCGAGAATATTTATGTAAATGCGTATGGCTAAGTAAACACTGCGAGCATTGCTATTTAAGGTCTGACACTTTGTTGACGCGCAAACTTTTTCCATTTGCGGCAATTAACTTGTAATTTGCATATTAAATGAGTTGCGAATTTGCATAAGCTGCAAAATATTCAAATCCAACCGACAGTTGGCCGCGCAAGCAGTGAACACACACACACTGCACTGCTTGCCTGCAGAGAGAACTGTCAAATGGAATACAGACAAGCAGTGTGTATACCAATAAGTATAAGGTTGAAAACTTAGCTAAGCCGGATTAGGAGAAACAAATTGAGTTTGAAAGAATTGTTGAAAAAGTTTGATTGACTGACTGACGAACTGTCTGATTGATCAATTCACAGCGCAAAACAGTAAGAGCTGAGCAGCTGAACTCCGATGTGTTCCAAGGTAGTAGGAGAAGGCTTTAAAAAACTAATGTATGACATTTAAGTATAAACTTCACCTGGGCAACGTCGAACAATGCCCCATGTAATACCCTATGTATATTACATGTATATTACTGCAAATTATAAAAACACGTATTTTTTTGATGGCCCTTCTTTGCGATTCTCATACATTTAATTAGGACTTACTGCTGAACTCAATTCGTTGTCTTAATTGGGCAGTATATTTGTTTATAGTATTAATTTAGCATGACTGAAAACTTGATAGTTGCCAGCCATAGCTTCTGACAGCAGCTCTCGATGATTATTGTTTTTACTCCCTACATAACTTAAGCACTTTCGATAGAACAGCTCTAGATGACATGCTTATATATATAGCTGCCCCTTAACCAATCTGTATTGCTCGCTCAAAGTAACTAATTGGCCGCGGGGCGGGGCGAGGTGAGATGAGTTTATTGACACGCTGGGAACGCGAGTTGAAACATAATTGAATGAACATATCAAATTTCAATCAGAGCTAAATCTTATTAAGTGCACAACTGCCAAATAGCAAAAATGAACAACAAGAAACTCTTACTCGGCAACAACAACAGCAACAACAACAACAACAACAACGACGACGACAACAACACGCCCCGCAGCTAATCAGGCTCTAATGGCGATAAATATTTCATTCTATATATTTTGGCAGAGCGCACGAGCAGCGGCCAGAGACACGCCTCGGCCACAGCCCCAGACGGTGAAGAGGAACGAATCGTCGCGGTTTTGAGCATCCTCCCAACCAAAGACAAAGACAGCGGACGGCAGCAACAATGCCAGACAAAATCTTCAATGCGATCGACAATCGTGAAGACGACCACAATGATGACGATGATCAAACACAGACCAGGCACTGGCCAGGCACAGCCAGTCAGCCAGTCAGTCAGTCAGTTAGTCAGTCAGCCAATTCGCCAGTTGGTCAGCTTAAGGCGAAGCCTCTGTCTGCCTCCTCCTCCTACTCCTCCGCCTCCACTTTGGCCGTGCCTTTTGCCATTTTTGTGTTATGAATCTTTCGGTTCTTAAACAGCTTTTGTGCAGAGCATTGGGCGGGTGCGCCGCTAAGGATGAGGATCTGAGGATGAGTCTGAGCATGAGGATGCGACTGGCTGCCATTATGAGTAATGGGAATAATGCCTGGCATTTGTTTACTTGCGGCGCTACATTGTCGGCCTCTGAGAGCCTCAGCCCAAAACTCATGACTGCGCTGCGTGTGCTCTATGGGTTTTTGGTCTTCGCAGTGCAAAGATCTGGGCATAGGCACTAAATGTGGTTGCATTGTGGTTGCAAAACAATTTTACAATGAGTCTGAGACGGTGAAACAGGGAGAGAGAAGGGGAGAGAGGGAAATTGAGGGGGAGAGTGGGGGAAGACACATGATTAGGTCTGGTAAAAAACCAAATAGGTTTTGTAACATGTTTGGTTTATAAATAGATTCAGTTTTTAAGTTAAATAATATTATAAACAAATTAGTCTAAAAACAATTTTTATAATTTTACAACAGGAAGATCGAGCTTCAAGTTTAATTATACAAATTAAATATTTATTATGTTAATAAATTATTATGATATATTTAAAAAATATTATTTTAATTATAATCGTGATAGTTTTTATCAAAATTATAAATATTTCTAATTATTTCTGATCTCAAAATGAAAGGAATCTTGTCCCTTTGTATTATAAAAAATTAATAAATTAAAGTTTTCAAATAATTTAGATAATTTGTTGGGATTTGGTGAACTTATTTTATTTATAGATACATTTGTTAAGATGTATACTTTATTCATGATTTTTGTTTTGGCTGTCTTGGTTTCTTTTAAAAGATGATAAATTTCTTTTGAATAAAATCACAAAAAATCGAAATGCTAGAACCAGCTAAATCAAACGTTATTTAACAATAACTTGCGTATCGTTGGCTACAATATTTTATAAGCTAGCAATAATTAAATAGATATCTTAACAATTATTTCTACTATTTATAGCTTATTTAGTGACATTATACTAATAATACATATTGGGCTTTTACTTGAGCAATTGAAAGATTTTGGTTAGTTTTTACTTAGCCTGGGCTAAGATCAGGCCGAGCCCCGTTGGTTTATTATCTATATAAATAAAT